GCCATGCGCCGACAACCTCATGATCTGGAACGCCGTCATCTTTGGCCCCGCCGATACTCCCTTTGAAGATGGAACGTTCAAGCTCGTCATGACGTTTGACGAATCGTATCCAAACAAGCCGCCAACGGTCAAGTTTCTCTCCAAGATGTTCCATCCCAACGTATACGCCAATGGCGAGCTGTGTCTCGACATCCTTCAGAACCGATGGTCGCCCACCTACGATGTTGCGGCGATCCTCACGAGTATCCAGAGTCTGCTGCACGATCCCAACCCCAACTCGCCCGCAAACGCAGAGGCCGCGAGTTTGTATCGCGAAAACATGAAGGAGTACGTTCGTCGTGTCAAGGCAACCGTCGAGGCAAGCTGGCTCGACGATGGCGAGAACCCAGAGCCAATCCCGGAAGAGGACGAGGACGCACCAGCAGCCCAAGCTGCGTCATCTTAGCCCCAACACCTTTGCAGGTACCTACATGAGCTCAAGGCTCAAAGCTCAGTCCGGCTTTGCGGGCCAGGCATCCGACAAGCCTACGCGCTTCTCTGACATGACTGGCCTCCAGGCCTCGCTCTGCTGTGTCCCTGCTTTGGGCGACTCACCATCCTTCCCACTCACTCTCGCATCGTCTTCATCCCCTGTCTCAATCCTCGTCCGACGTTTCGATTCGTGTGCTTCCATCGCAAGCGTTCCCGTCTCCTGCTTGTCCTGTACATCATACCTTCGGTATCTCTCTCCATCTGTCTTGCTCCACGCCAGTTTTGCAATTCTTCCGGTCCACTTCTCTCTCTACACACACAAACACACACGCGGGCACTGTGCAAAGGAATACACGAGACATCTTGAGATTCTGAGAGAATGGAGGATGGGTGGATAAGCGGTGGTGTAAAACAAGGGTTGGTAAAATGCAAGAGAGACGACGTGGCAGAGAGCGAGATGGTCTCGCACGACCGCGGTGCACAGCGCACGGGAGAGTTTTTTGGGTGCCCGTCCAGCCTCGAATTGACCGAACGAATCGAGGTGGACAAAACAAGGAAAGGGGAAGCTGTTGTTACAAAATCGCTGTGCAAGGCGGGTCGGGGAGAGCGAGAGGATGGAACAGGCAGGGTAGGGGAAACCGTTTACTGCTTCTTCTCGCCCTCACCCTCGGGCTTGGACTCGGCGTTCTCGGAAGCACCGCCGGACGACTGGCCCTTCTTCTCGTAGACGAGCTTGAAGAGCTGGAGCGAGGCCTGCTGGGTGGCGTCGATCTTCTCGCGGATGGTCTGGGCCTCGATGTCGGCATCGCCGTTGAGACCCTTGGAGGCGAGCTCCTCGGTCTCCTTGATGAGCACGTTGAGCTTCTCCTTCTCCTCGGCGGGGAGCTGCTCGCTGAACTCCTGCATGGCCTTGGTGGTCTCGGAGCAGACCGAGTGGGCGCGGTTGGCCTCCTCGATGACAGCCTTGCGGGCCTTGTCGGCCTCGGCGTACTGCTCGGCGTCGGCAACCATCTTCTCGATCTCGTTGTCGCTGAGGCCCGAACCGGCCGAGATGGTCATGGACTGGTCCTTGTTGGTCGCCTTGTCGAGCGCCGAGACGTGCATGATACCGTCGGCGTCGATGTCGAAGGTGACCTCAACCTGAGGAACACCCTTGGGCGCGGGGGGGATGCCGGTGAGCTGGAAGTTGCCGAGCAGCTTGTTGTCGCGAACAAGCTCACGCTCGCCCTGGTAGACCTGGATGTCGACGGCGGTCTGGCCATCGGCGGCGGTCGAGAAGACCTGCGACTTCTTGGTGGGGATGGTGGTGTTGCGGTTGATCAGACGCGTGAAGACACCTCCGAGCGTCTGGATACCGAGCGAAAGCGGGGTAACGTCGAGCAGCAGAACGTCGGTGACCTGGCCGGAAAGCACACCACCCTGGATGGAGGCGCCGATGGCGACAGCCTCGTCGGGGTTGACACCCTTGCTGGGGTCACGCTTGAAGATGTTCTTGACGGTCTCGAGGACCTTGGGCATACGGCTCATACCACCGACCATGATGACCTCCTGGATGTCCGAGGGCTTGCAGCCGGCGTCCGAGAGCGCCTTCTTGCATGGCTCGACGGTGCGGTCAACGAGCTTGCCGACGAGGCCCTCGAGCTGGGAACGCGACATCTTGGAGTTGATGTGCTTGGGGCCCGAGGCGTCAGCGGTGATGTAGGGCAGGCTGATGTCGGTCGACTGGGCGCTGGAGAGCTCAATCTTGGCCTTCTCGGCGGCCTCACGGATACGCTGGATGGCCATGCGGTCCTTGGAGAGGTCGAGGCCGGACTCCTTCTTGAACTCGCTGACGAGGTGCTCGACAAGGACAATGTCGAAGTCCTCACCACCAAGGTGGGTGTCACC